TTCAAAATAGTTAGTGTTGATTAGCACAGAAAATCCGCCCCTCGGGCCCAAATACCACAGCATAGCAGGTAAAAATGCAAATAAGTATGCAAGATGAACACATAAAAGTTCGCCCCTCGGGCATGAATTTCATTACTAGTCAGTCATTGTTACCTGACCGGTCAGCCATTGTTACCTGACCCAACGCGTGTTTCAGTGCCATTGTTACCACTGGTCAGCCATTGTTACCTGACTGGTCAGCCATGTTACCTGACCAAAACACGTATGACAGTGTCATTGTTACCATTGTCCAATTCTAAATGGGTACCCACGCTCACTGTGGGTGTGCAGACTCCGGAGGGGCTCTTACGGCCCAAGCGCTATATCATCATAAGGCCTGAAAGCCTGTAGATATCAACATGAGGCTTGAAAGCCTTCTCACAGCACACTCGAGGCCTGAAAGCCTCCTCACAATACACTCGAAGCCTGAAAGCCTCCTCACAATACACTCGAGGCTTGAAAGCCTCCTCATATCACTCAGCATATCCTCACATATGGCCCTCGACCTCAATCAGTCCAAAAATAATCATAAGCCCCTCGGGCATCAGTAAAGAAACAATAATGCTCAGCTCAAACAGTAGTTCAAATATCAGTTAAAACTCGAGGTTGAGTAAAAATATAGCTGAGTTCATGAAACAGCGTAATGACAATGGACTGAGTTCAAATAATATTTCAAATAGTGAGGAAAACAGTGATGATAGCTCATAGGGAGTTCAAACAGTCGGCAATAACCCCCAATTATGGCAATAAGCCCAAGTCCTAGTGAAAAACAACAAGTCATAGCGAAATACGCGGTAAAATCGACAACCGGGACGGACCAAGTCACAATCCCCAACGGTGCTCTACCCCACGCTCTCTATCTGGCGTGCAAGTCACCTCAATATAGCACTATGGGTGCAAATCCGGGGTTTCAAACCCTCAGGATATCATTTACAATTATTACTCACCTCGATCCGGCGAAATCTCTAGCTCGCGACGCCTTTGCCCCTCGAATCGGCCTCCACGCGCGTCGAATCTAACCAAAATCAGAGCGAGTATATCACAATATGCCAAGGGAACGATGCCTAATCGAAAACAGTTGAGATATAGCAGAAATCTCGAAACTAGCAAAACCCGAGCCCCGGGCCCGCTTCTCGAAAAATTACAAAATTCACATTACCGTATTCCTCGTCTCGCCACGAGTCCATACATACCAAGAACTCCCAAATCCGAGCTCAAATGACCTATCAAATCCCAATTTGAAATATCAAAAACTCAAGCCCTAGCTTTACCCCTTTTTAATGAATTCCAACCAATTTCCATGTTAATTTTAACAAAATCTCGAGTATTTAGGCCAAGGAACTTACCTCTAATCATTCCTCCTCGAATCCCTCTTCAAAATCGCCTCAAAGCTCTCAAAGCTCGCTCAAAAATGGGGGAAAATAATACCTAGCTCGCGGAGGGAAATATTCAATAATCAGCCCAGCACTTTCGCTTATGCGGTCCCCATCCCGCTTCTGCGGGACCGCTTCCGCGCTATTCCTTCCGCTTCTGCGGAAATCCCACTCTCGAACCAAACCGCTTCTGCGGTCACAACATCGCATAAGCGATTCCGATTTTGCGGCTACGCCAACGCTTCTGCGGAACCAGGCGCCCATGCCTCTTCACCGCTTCTGCGGTCAACCCATCGCTTAAGCGGGTCCGCTTCTGCGGTCCAAGACTCGTAGAAGCGAGAATACCAGATATCAGCAACATTTGAAGTCTCCAAGTCAAAATTTCATCCCGCTAGCCATCCGAAATCACCCCGAGGCCCCCGGGACCTCAGCCAAAGGCACCAACATATCCCAATACATCATACGAACTTGCTCCAATCATCAAAACACACCTAACAACACTAAAATCATCAATTCACATCAGATTCAAGCCTAAGTTCTTTAAGAACTTCCGAAATGCACTTTCAATCAAAAACCCGACCAAACGATGTCCGAATGACCTGAAAATTTGCACACATATCCAAAATCACTTAACGAAGCTACAGCAACTCTCGGAATTCCATTCCGACCCCCGGATCAAATTCTCACCCGTCCACCGGAATTCGCCAAAATACTAACCTCGCCAATTCAAGCCTAATTCTACACCGGGCCTCCAGAATCAATTCCGATCGCACTCCCAAGTCACAAATCATCCCCCGAAGCTAACCGAATCACCGGAAATTACATCCAAGCCTTCTAACTCAATAGTCAACATTCGGTTGACTTTTTCAACTTAAGCTTTCCTTAAAGAGACTAAGTGTCTCATTTCTTATCAAAACCAATCCAAAACAACTCTAACACACCACATACCGATAACGAAACATGAAGAAGCATGAAAGGGGGAAAATAGAGCAATAACACATGAGACGACGGGTCGGGTCGTCACACAAAGTCACCACTTTGCCGGAAGTCATTTTGAGAAATATCTTCCCACATCCTTCAATCTTGGCCTTTGCAGCATTCCCCATAGAAAGCGTCTCATCGGGTCCAATAGGAGCATAAGTAGCAAAAGCTTCTTTAACAGCGCAAACATGGCGAGTGGCTCCAGAATCAATCCACCACTCTTTAGGATTTCCCACCAAGTTGCATTCGGAAAGCATGACACATAAGTCATCAACATCATCATGCTTTTCAACCATGTTTGCTTGACCCTTCTTCTTGTCTTTCTTCGGAGCACGACACTCCATAGATTTGTGTCCGGCTTTTCCATAGTTGTAGCAATTTCCACTGAACCGCTTCTTGCTTGGGTTGTATTTCGGTCCAGAAGCCTTCTTCCTCTTTTTGTTCTCTTCAACAATATTTGCTCCCATTATTGTTGAGTTTCCACGGCCTCTCTTTTCAGCAGCTTTGTTGTCCTCTTCGATTCTCAACCGAACAATAAGATCTTCAAGGTACATCTCCTTGCGTTTGTGTTTCAAGTAGTTTTTGAAGCCCTTCCACAAAGGAGGCAACTTCTCAATCATCGCTGCTACTTGGAATGCTTCATTGATGACAAGACCTTCAATGAAATTTCTGTTAGTAAAAATTTTACTAAGATTACTACTTTCAACATCAGTATTAATTTGATTTATACCTTCAGCAAGGAGATCGTGAATAATCACTTGCAATTCCTAGACTAGGGTAATAACAGACTTGCTATCTACCATTTTGTAGTCCAAAAACTTTGCAGCAACGAACTTCTTCAACCCAGCATTTTCGATTTTGTATTTCTTTTCAAGCGCAGTCCATAGTTCTTTTGACGTTTCCACGCCACTGTAGACGTTATACAAAGCATCCTCCAGCCCGCTTAGAATATAATTCTTGCACAAAAAATCTGAGTGCTTCCACGCCTCAATCACGAGAAAGTGTTCAGTTTTTGGAGTTTCATCGGACAGCACAGGAACATCTTCCTTGATGAACTTCTGGAGACTTAGAGTAGTCAAATAGAAGAACATCTTTTGCTGCCAGCGCTTGAAATTAATCCCAAAAAATTTTTCGGGTTTCTCCGCCGGTGCCAATGCTGCAGGTGTTGTTCGGCTCGTTGAGGCATTGGCAGTCACCGTTGGAACAGCTTGGTTCACATTAACATTAGTCATTTCTGTAAAAGAATGACACAAATGTTAAAATCACGTAGATTTTAATCTCCAATAGAGTACAAAACACAAAGGTTTTACTCTCCAAACAGTGAGTACAAATACAGAAAATATATTAAATTCCTTTAGCTTGTTAGTCAACTGTATTTGTAAACTAATTCTGGAAAAAACAAAGCAGAATAATATATAGACAGAAAACGTAAAGAGATAGAAATCAATTCGAGCCCACTGATTTCACAGTGTTTCCTTAAGGAATTTAATCCCATCCTAGTACCCAAGGTTATGGATTATTTTCTCCCAGGATAGAACTAATTACACACTGGTGTAGTGCTACTTCAAACCCTAGTGTTTTAGCGAACACAAAGTTCGGTAGCAAATCACACTTACTGTTGCTTTGTTTGATGTTAAAACTATGCAGAAGAAGGAGGAGAAACTCAGAAAAATCGTATGGAAATTCTGAGCAGAATAGCCTTGTATTTATAGCCAAAGTTGGGCTGGAATCTAAAGAGGTGCAACTCTTCAGAATGGCTGTTTATGCAAAACGGCCACAGCATAAATGCCATAACATAAATGGCTATTTACTCAACAATAAAGAGGGAAAATAAAGAGGAAAAATTGAAGGGTAGTTAATTTTCTGTTACAAAAACAGAAAACTGAAATTTGGATAACTGAATTGGGGATTTAATATTAATATTTATTTTAATATCAATATTCTGTTATTAAAACAAATATTTAATAACATTTCTGTTAATATTTTACTATTAACAAATAAATTTGGTCCAAAAATTAATCAATCAATCATTTGACCGAATCCGAATCCGAGCCGAGCGACGACGGCACGAGGCTTGCCTTCTTCTCAACTCTTTATGAGCTGGAAGAAGAGTAATTGCTTATATACCCATCAAAACCTTTTCCTCTTCCAATATGGGACAATGTCCCTTTGCCAAGGGGGAAAACTTAAAATTTCACTCAAATATTTCATTTCTCTCCATTTCCCATTCACCCTCTTTTAAATATTTAATATAATTAAATATATAAATCCCAACAAAACCGACCACCTTATACTTTGGCCACATTCCTGCATTGTGGCATTCGGATTCTATACAGACTTCAATTCGTTCAGCCCCACAAGATTCATGTTTTGACCACGCAACGTTGGTGGGATAATGAATAACAATTTCGAGATAAAATGTAAAATTATTTTATCCCGCATTTGATTATAAATATTAATTAATCATGGGAATCAATCTGCAGTAAAATGGTACGATTAGTTATACAATAGAATATCCTTATCTATCTCATTCTCCTAACCAAATGACCCCTCATTGTATTCCAAAAGGAACAAGAGAATGAAGTAAACAGTGATGAAGCCAAAGACTTGAAAAGGCATGTAAAACTCAGGAAAAAAGATTACAATCGTAAATAGATAGTTTACTAAGAAGAAATATATGCTCCATATCGCATAAGAGTTATTCTTGAACCAAAAACTGGCAAAAAACAACTAAAAATGTTTCTTATTTTCCAACATCAAGTATGAAAATTTCAAGGGCATTTAGGTCCTCCTTCTTGTGTTTTCCAATCTCTGTAGCATGAACAACAATCTTTTTGTCCAAAAGTACCCGGTGGAACGCACTGACACCAGTTACAACACTTGTTGCAAAATAATAAACAGTTGTTCTTGTGAGATGTATTTGAGCATCGACGATCACATGCACTCGAACACTCTACAAAAATATTTAAGAAAAAGGGTCATATAGTTTCTTGAAGTATAATTAATTAATTGATTACAAAAATATAATAAAAAAAGTGCTTACGATCAGTAGGAACTGGACAAGTGGTTGGACCAACCGGAGGTTTTGCTACAAGTGAAGCGTCAAAACGTCGATATGCCTGTTTATTCAACAAATTAAAGATGAAAAGGCAACACTTAATTATCATATCATTGTTTAAACAATAATTTAAGCTAAATTAGTCATGTGAGTATGAGAGGCGAAGCCACATTGTCGTAAGGGTGGTTAACTGATCACCCTTCGTCAAAAGATTACACTTTGTATATAAGTAATATATTAGGTTTTAGCTGTATATAACATATCTTGAACATCCTTTGTCAGAATTTTTTTTCACTTCTTTGAAGTTTCAACACACTTTGAGAAATTTTTGGCTTCATCACTAAAGTCTGTATGTATGTCTCAAATATTGAATGCTCAAAGCAAAAAAGAAAAAAAGAAAGCAAAGTACTAAAATAATTTACTCACGAGAGAAACTTCAATAAGACATAATAAGGCAACCAAAGAGAAAAGCAAAGTAGCTTGAGATCTTTTTGAAATAGCCATTACTTGAATTATTTTGTGTTTTGACGTTACTTTTTTATGGTAGAGAACCTCCTACTTATATATGCATGGACCTAAGTTTGCACAAAATGGTAAGAAAGATATTGTGATAAAACAGTAATTAATACGTATTATTGATTGATAATGCAAAACTTAAATAATTAAAATGTTATTATAGGTCAAAATATACTAACAATGGTAAGAGCAGATCAACCGCAGTTCCTGCCTAAAATTTTCACTGTAAAAGATTTGCATAAATAGAATCAGATTTTGCTTAACGACTGTCTTGCCAATATTAGTGGCAGTATTCAAGAGATTAATATATGTTTTCCGTTAATCAATGCATTGAAATATCAATTACGAGATCCCAAAATCACCGCCAGTATGTTGTTTTTGATAAAATTTGCATTTTGAAATCCAAAAATCTTTTACTTTGTGTCATTCCTTAAGAGGCTGAAGGAAATTTCTACTTTAGAATAAGACTGTCATATCGGGAAATAGAATGGATCCACGTACGATGATGTTGCGGAATATTGTGGGTTAACTAGTACACAATCACACACGAAGCAAATAGAGAAGAAAAATCAACACAAGGATTTAACGAGGTTCGGCTAAGCCTAATCCTCGGGTAAAAGGAGAGAGAGTTTTCCACAATGAATGAGAAGAAAAGCATAATACAATCTCTAGGATCCCCAACTACAACCCCTATATATAGATCCCAAAAGGTCCCAAACATATAAGAGAAAAGTTTTCCAATTTGGCAAGGACTATAGGTTTTCTTTTCCCAAATCTATTAGGAAAATGAGTTTTTCTAAACATATAGGGATTGTGGGTTTCCTAAAAATACAAGGAAATAATTCAAGCCACAAATAACAAATCTTCCCCTCGGCTTGAATTCTCTTCATCAACATGAACAACGTCTCTCTACCTTGCCCTCAGTCCTCGCAAAGGCACTACCCATTGCCACACACATCAACCATGTCTAGGCAACGCCTAAACTTGTTAAGAGACTCAATCTCTTCGGCCATAGCACTAATCCATCGATTTGGTTCTGTACCCGGAATATCTTCTAGATAGCTATAACACTCAAACGCATCAACGGTCTCTGCAACTGCCAAAGCAAATGCCATAGGATTCATAAGTCAAAGAAGATTCCCATCAACTACGTTTGCAAATCTTTGCGGTCGGTTGATCACTCTCTTCTCTCCGCCTGTTGCCATGCTATATGGTTGTTGTTGCGCATGTGCATCAACATTATCATCTTGATCAATATTTCGCACCTCCTCCACTTTCTCTACTTTAGAACTATTGGGCTGAGCTAGTGGAGATTCGATTTCTAGCTCTATACGGTCACTGACACCATGATCTATTTCTGCTATTGCCTTCTCCCTTTGACTGTCCGGTGAGGCAGATTTATTGAATGTTACATCCCTACTGATAATTAGCCCTGGAGTCTTTTGATCTATGCACCACAACCTATAGTTTTCACTCCAGTTGCATACCCTAGAAATATGCACTTCTTTGCCCTCGGCTCAAGTTTTACATCCCTCACATGAGCATAAGCTGGACAACCAAATATCCTTAAATTTGAATAATCAGCAGGCGAACCGGAGCATACCTCAAAAGGAGTTTTGAACTTAAAAGGTGTGGATGGAGATCCGTTGACCAAATAACAAGCTGTATTTGCTTCAGTCCAAAAATCTTTGCTAACACATGAGTGTGAAAGCATGTTTCGTGCCCTATCACAAAGCGTTCTATTCATACGTTTTGCAACACCATTTTGTTGTGGTGTTCCGACAGAAGTGCGATGTGTCACTATGCCCTCTCAACTGCAGAAATTATCGAACTTAGAATTGCAAAATTCCAACCCATTATCTGTTCGAAGACGATTAACTTTTCTTTCTGTCTGCCTCTCAATCATCGTCTTCTATTTAGCAAATGTTGAAAATGCCTCATCTTTTGTTTTCAGAAAACACACCCACACCATCCTTGAGTAATCATCAATCAAAGTCATAAAATACCTGGCACCACTTTTGGAGGGAACTCTGTTTGGACCCCACAAGTCAGAGTGTATATAATCTAACTTGTCTCTGGTCTTGTGCTCGGCCTTCTTGCTGAACTTTACCCTTGTCTGTTTACCAAACACACAATGCTCACAAAAATTCAAAACTTGAATTTTGTACCCATTCAACAAATTCTGCTTACTCAACAAAGACAATCCATTATCACTCATATGGCCAAGTCGCAAGTGCCACAATTGAGATTGATTCAGATCATTTTTCCCAGAAGCTACAGCAGCTTCCCCTTCAACTACACTGGCCTGAAGATGATACAATTTAGAATGTAGTTTACCCTCCAAGAGTACCATGGATCCTTTACACACTTTAAATATTCCATTCTCGGGGTGAAATTTATACCCTTGGTCATCCAAAGTTGAAAGTGAAATCAAATTTCTCTTTATCCGAGGAACATGCCAACACTCAATGTTTCTGATAATTCCGTCGAACATTCTCAATTTGATGTTACCAACCCCCTCTACTGGTAAACAATTCTTGTGCGGCCACATGTGGAAAGTAGCACCAGAATCAAGAACCCAAGAATTCTGCCCATGACTAGAACTCACAGCACAGACTTCCCCTATATAGTCACTATCATCAGAATTATTGCCAGTATCCACAATATTTGCCGATTTATCTATTTTCTGCTTTCCTCTTTTCTCCTTCAGCTTAGGACAATCTCTCTTGTAGTGACCTTACTCTCCGCACTCATAACAGTGTTGCTTCCTTGCTCTAGACTTTGATCTGGCGGTTGACTTTTTTCTGTTAAAGTCCTTTTGTTGTGTTCTTCCTCTAATCACAATACCCTCGCCCTGAATTCTGCTGTCTGGAAAAGCTCTTTTTCAACTCTTTAGATTTAGTGCATTACTAACATCTTCCAGTGAAATATTGTCTTTCCCATACAGCAGCGTATCGGCAAAAGTATCATAAGACGGCGGTAAAGAACATAACACAATCAAGGCCTGATCTTCACTCTCAATTTTGATATCCACATTCTTCAGGTCAATTATAATTGAATTAAACTCATCAATATAAGTTTTAACAGGTGTACCTTCATTCGTACGAAGATTGTATAACCTATTTTTCTAGTAGAGGCGGTTTGTTAGCAATTTCTTAGAATACGGATCTTCCAGCTTCTTTCATGCTGTTGCTGCAGAAGTTTCTTCAGCAACTTCCGGAAGAACGCTATCTATAACGCTCATGAGATCGCACTCAAAGCTCTCTCCTTTAGGTCTGCCTTCTTTGTCTCTTTCATCTCTTCAGGAAAACCCTCATCAATTGTCTTTCATAACCCTTGTAACACCAGGGACGATTTCATCCTAATCTTCCATAGACTGAAACTAGAACCCTCGTAAAATTTCTCTACTTCGTACTTTGTTGAAGATGATGACGACATCTTAACCCTAGATTATATGTAGAAACCCGAACCTTGCTTTGATACCAATTGTTGCGGAATATCGTGGGTTAACTAGCACACAATCACACACAAAGCAAATAGAGAAGAAAAATCAACACAAGGATTTAACGAGGTTCGGCTAAGCCTAATCCTCAGGGCAAAAGCAGAGAGAGTTTTCCACTATGAATGAGAAGAAAAACACAATACAATCTCTAGGATCCCCAACTACAACCCCTATATATAGATCCGAAAAGGTCCCAAACATATAAGAGAAAGGTTTCCCAATTTGACAAGGACTATAGCTTTTATTTTCCCAAATCTATTAGGACAATGGATTTTTCTAAACCTATAGAGATTATGGGTTTTCTAAAAATACAAGAAAATAATTCAAGCTACAAATAACAGATGAGATGGTCAAACTAGAAGGATTAAATTTTTTATTATTATTAGGGGAATGGATAATGGGGGAGGGATTACAAAGTGGGAATCGAACTCACTATAAATATGTCATGATATTATGTCATCATTCGGGATTTTTACATTCCTATACACTATATGAAACTACATTACACTCCCTACTCAAGTTTTACTATAATTACATTTTATATACCCAATTACCATCTATGTACATTTTAAGGGAATTAATGATAATAATTAGTATCCTAAAATTACTCTAACATATCTTTCACTCCCCCACGTTTCTCTCTCCACATCCCACCCCTCCCCTACGTATCTTGCACCCACCAAGATTCCACCATTGACAACCATTAAAAAGCTTTGAAGCTTTGAATTCGAATTTGGGTTTTCAAAAAATATTATTTGTTTGAATTGGATGTTGTTGCAAAGAATTGGAAATTCTCTCTACGTCTCTCTCTGTCTCTCAATCCCTATTTTTATTAATGTAAAGCAAAGGAAAAGAGAGCAGCAATTCCACCATTGACAGCCATTAAAAAGCTTTGAAGCTTTGAATTCGAATTTGAGTTTTTAAAAATTATTATTTGTTTGGATTGGGTTTTGTTGCAAACAATTGAGAATATGGTTTGGAGTTTATATCTCAATTTTGAGGGGTTTTGGTGAATATTAGACTTGGTTTTGGCTGAATTTCAGATTGAAACTCGAAGAAGAAGAAGAACACATGATATACATTATATTTACAAAATTGTAGTAAAATTGTAGAAAAATTGTATTCTGTTTTTTATATATTTTTCTTTCATTTATTTATTTATTGCATGAAATTTGAACAATATTGTATAAAAATTATATTTAAGTTGTATGATATTGTAGTTGTATATAATTGAGTAGAAATAATGTATGAGTAGATAAGTTGTAGATAAGCTGTATAATATATAATTAATTGTATGAAATTTGTTTTTACCATGTATAAATAAAATACAAAATATACAAAAGACATATTGTATAAAATTTGTATTTAAGTTGTATGTTATTGTAGTTGTATTTAACTGGGTAGAATAATGTGTGAAAGTTGTAGATAAGTTGTATAATATATAATTAGTTGTATGAAATTTATTTTACTATGTATAAATCAGATACAAAATAT